GGGGAAGCAGTAGTGAAGGGTGGGATGGTGGGGCAGGAGAGGATGGCTTGGGGCAGGCAGGGGTCACCCCATCTCTCCTCTTCCCCCAGGAACATGACATTGAGACCCCCTACGGGCTGCTGCACGTGGTCATCCGGGGATCACCCAAGGGGAATCGCCCGGCCATCCTGACGTACCACGATGTGGGCCTCAACCGTGAGTGCTGGTCCCTGGGCCATGGGGCGCAGGGGCAGGCGGGAGTGAGCCTGGGGCTGCGCAGGGTGGCAGTTCATCGGCTAAAGCCCCTGGCTCAGCTCCTTTGCCTCCTCCCACGGAGGGTCCCCAGGCTGCATTGGGTCTCCCCAGGCATCTGAAAGCACCAGGAGGGTTTGGATGCTCAGCCGAACCAATAGCCCGGGCCAGGCACAGCCAGGAGTGCTTGGCCAACCGGGTGCTGGCTGTCTGCCCGCCCCCCCCCCGGCAGGGAAAAAAAGCCCCACTCCAGGCAGGGACGGGACGTGGGGGACGCCGGGTCGGTCCCTACCGCCACCGGTGGCCTGTTGGTATTCAGAGCATGGACCCGGCTGGCGGCAGGGTGTAGTGGGGGCCGAAGGAGACAGGGGAATAGCAGGGAAGGAGTGACCCCGAGCCGGGACTCTGGATGTGGGGATGCTGTAAGCCTGAAGCCTTGGACCGCACGCCAGACTCCTGCCCCAGGCTGTGCCCCCTGGCTGAGCCGGGATGCCCGGTGCCCTGTGAGTGGGGAGAAGCATCTCCCCCTCTGCTGGCGGCTGAGGCTGAGTCACCGGCATGCTACGTGAGCTGCCTCGCCATCACTCTTGTGTCCGGGGATGCATCGTGTTGGTTGCGATGGGCCTTACAACCTGCCTCGCCCCCACATTTTGGGAGGGATGTCCCGGCACCGATGCCATGGGGCAGGACCCATCCAAGCCCTGGCGATGGCTGTATGCTGCTGCAACAGTGGTGGCCTGTCCACAGCAGCGCTGGGGCTGTTTTTTGACTGTTTCCAAGCAGGGAGATTTGCAGCCGTTTCTCAAATCCCATGTTTGCTTGAGCCCTTTCTAGCCATTTTGCATAGGGCCAATAATACCCCGGGCTGCTAATCCCGCTGCCCACCGGGTGGTCCTGCAGCTCTGGGCTTCCGATCCCCCGGTCCCATCCCTCCAAGCAGATGAGACTCACCCCAAACTCCTCATTCTCCTGGCTATGTCTGTCCATCCTCATGCCTTCCAACACCAGCAGGGCTGCAGCCCTTGCTAACAGTGGCCGTGGTCTCTGCTGTGGGAACGAGGAGCCTGGAGGGAAGGGGATGGGAGGGCTTTGGTGGCATGTCACCTCCTGGTTGAAGTGCAGTGGGAGGGCAGGTGACCTCCCTCCATGCTCCCCTGGCCCACCTGGCCCCCAGTGCTGGGGCGTTTGGTCTCTGATCCCTGCCTGCCCTTTGACAGACAAGCTTTGCTTCAACACCTTCTTCAACTACGAGGACATGCAGGAGATCACGAAGCACTTTGTGGTGTGCCACGTGGATGCGCCGGGCCAGCAGGCAGGAGCCTCGCAGTTCCCTCAGGGGTAGGTGCCAGCTTCGGGGACTCGCTACGCCCGCCGGGAAGTCACCTCCCTGCCCCCTGGGTTGTCACTGCCTGGGCAGTCGTGCCTTGCCTGCGGGTCTCTCCAAACTGTGACAAAGCCCGTGGCAGCCTACTGACCCAGGGCGGGCAATCGGGTGGTTTGTGGGTGGGTGGCATTTCCCTGCCCACTTCAGGCAGCCCAGCTGCCCTGTCCCAGCCTTCCTGCTCTGCACGGGTCCCATAACCACCATCCTGTGCCTCCCTGTGCTGCAGGTACCAGTACCCATCCATGGACCAGCTGGCTGCCATGTTACCCAGTGTGGTGCAGCATTTTGGGTGAGTCAGCTTCTCCTCCACAGCTGCTGGCTGAGAGTGCTGGCCAGGGAGATGGGCAAGAGGTGAGGGTTTGAGGCTGAGGGAGTTGACCCTGTAAGCTGGCACCCTGCATGTCTTCTTGTGTCCCATGCTGCGGGTGGAGGGGTGCCCCAGGGAACCCGTGGCTGGAGCCCACCATCCCCCCATACGCACCTCTCTGCTTTCCAGGTTCAAGTACGTGATCGGGATCGGTGTTGGGGCAGGAGCCTACGTGCTGGCCAAGTTTGCGGTGAGCCTGGGGCTGGGATGGGCTGACCCTGAGTTGCCCGTACCTGCTGTCAGCCTGGGGCATGGGGAAGAGCAGGAGCTGACACCCCCAGGCAGGCTGTGCCGCTGTGAAGGCTCCTGGAGGAACAGGGGGCTGGGATGGCAGTGCCATGGCCATGGTGGCCGGGCAGTCTTGCCACAGGTCTCACAACACCCCCAGGACAGGGCCATGTCAGCCCGGTGCAATGCCTGTGCAGTGGACAGCAGTGCTGGTGGGGGGCTGCCCTGGGTGCATCTCCCCTTCCCGCTGAGCATCGCCCCTCTTGCTCACTGCAGCTCATCTTCCCCGACCTGGTCGAAGGACTGGTCCTCATGAACATCGACCCCAATGGCAAAGGCTGGATTGACTGGGCAGCTGCCAAGGTGGGCAGGGCCCCGACCCCCCCTCCCGGCCCTGGTGGCTCCCTGGGGCAGGAGCCAGCCACGGCAGTGCCGTAACTCCTTGTGCTCCCTCCACAGCTCTCTGGCCTCACCAGCACGCTGCCGGACACTGTCCTGTCCCACCTGTTCAGCCAGGTAAGGGCTGCGCATCCTGCCGGCCCCTTCCACCGCCCCCCCACCCAGCATCCCAGCCAGGTCACCCAGGCTGTGCCCTGCCCTGCCTGCTGGGTGCCACAGTGCCGCTGGACCTGCCCCATGCCCAGGGATGGGGTTAGTCAAGCCCTGCCTGTATCCCTCCTGCCTGGTCCGGGGCTTAGCCTTGACGAGTGTGCGACTCATGCATGCATCCTGCCTGGGTGTGCTGCCTGCAGCACCGCTGTGCCCAGCTGCATTGGCCAGTGTCCTCCCCCTCTGCCCCCCTGGCCGGCACGGCATTGGCAGGCCTGGGGCAGCAGGGTGTCTCCGTGGCACCCGGCAGCACCTGCCCTGATCTCTGTCCTCTGCCGGCACAGGAAGAGCTGGTGAACAACACGGAGCTGGTGCAGAGTTACCGGCAGCAGATCGGCAGCATGGTGAACCAGTTCAACCTCCAGCTCTTCCTCAACATGTACAACAGGTGAGCACCCTGGGCGGCCCTGCCAGCAGGCTGCCCCCTTGTCTGCACCAGGGCGAGGGGCTGTGGCACTGGTGGGTGGCCCCAAGGGCACCATGGGAACCCTGACCCCTGTTGGGTGTTGCCATCACCCTCCAGTGCAGGCAGGCAGCGGTGCAAAGCTGGCCGCCGGTGCTGGCCAGGGATGTGGGAGTGACGGTACCTGTGCCAGAGTCTCGCCATGTCCCAGAGCCCATGGCCATGGGTGCATGTCCCCTGGTCTCCTCCTGTGCTGGGTGCTGGCACAGGCCTGGGGAAGGGGGCAGAGATGCTGTCCCATGCGTGCAGGGGGTTGGGAGCCTTGCTACTCCGCTGGGTGCTGCATCCTGCGGTGCAGGCTCTGCTTGGGTCATGGCAGAGATGGCCGTGGGGTCCTCCATCTACAGGGTGCTGGGACAGCGGGGCTGGGTGCTGCTTCCCGGAGCTGGCAGTGCCCCAGCTCTTGCGCTATGGCATTGGTGGTAGCACCTGCCCATGGGCTCACACTGGCCCTCTTTCTCCTCCATCAGCCGCAGGGACCTGGACATCAACCGGCCTGGGACTGTGCCCAATGCCAAGACGCTGCGGTAAGAGTCGCGCCGGCATGGCATGGGATGTCCCAGGGCAGTGGAGTCCACCCAGGCCAAGCCCTGACTGTGCCCCTTCCTCCTCTCACTTCCAGCTGTCCCGTGATGCTGGTGGTCGGAGACAACGCGCCTGCTGAAGAGGGGGTGGTGAGTAATGGGGTAGTGCCTGTGGGGTGGCACACAGATGGTGCCCATGTGCACGCTCCTGTTCATTGCCTGCTCAGACATGTGTGAGCTCCTGTTTGCGGGAGCGTGCTCATGTGCAAACCTACCTGCTTGTGTGGGCACACGTGCACGTGCATCTGTGCCTGGTTGCCACACCTGGAAAACCTCCCCTTCCTCATATGCCCAGACGTGCTCACAGCGTGCACACTTGGATGTGTTGGCACACAAGCACACGCCCTGCTTGGCTATATGCACCCAAACAGCTGCTAGCACATGCGTGTGCTTGCACACATCCACAAGGTTGTCCACACTTGCACAATCAGCCACAGGAACTATGCAGGTGGCCACATTTGTACCTAATATGTAACTGCATGCACGTGTATATCTATGCATATGCACAGGAGCACACGTGTGACACACAGGATGCCTCACCAGCCCCCCTACACTCCCTTTCCAGCCCCCACCCTTGCCCAGACACTGCCTGGCAGGAGGAAGGTCCCCCCTATCCCATGGCAAGGGATGGTGGTTCTGTGGGCTCAGGGCTCGCCTAGTGCCCTGTCTCCACCTGGCTGGGGTGGGATGTGCCGGCTGGGGTGGGCTGTGCCAGCTGGGGTGCCATGCGCCAGTGGCGGTGCCCGTGGGCAACTTCTGCCAGGCTCAGGGCACCCCAGGGTGCTAATATCATTCCTCTCGCCTGCAGGTGGAGTGTAACTCCAAGCTGGATCCCACCAACACCACCTTCCTGAAGGTAGGCGGGTGGCAGGGGGCAGCCAGGCAGTCCCTGCTGCCCATGAAGTTTCCAATAGCCCTCTGCCCCAGGGTTGCAGGGTGTCCCCATCTCCCTCTTCCAGGTCTGTCCTAGCCATGGGGCTGGGGGTGGGTGGGGAAAGCAGGGTGGCCCCAGCAGTGACATCCTGCCAGCAGGTACCAGGGGACAGGGTGGGTGGCAAAGGCACCCTCCCAAACTAAGTAGCACCTTCTCTCTGCAGATGGCTGACTCCGGTGGGCTGCCCCAGGTCACACAGGTGAGCCCCCACAATTTCCCCAGTTAACCGGGTATACTGGGCCCTGAGACATGCACCGGTGCTGTCCCTGGCTAGCAGGGGATGGGCTCAGGTGGGCATAGGGGTCTTGCACAGGGGCTGCCAGAAGTGGCTCAGGGCTGAGCAGGGATCTCAGCCCCGGTGCTGCCTCAGCTCAGCCTGCTCTCTCCCCACAGCCCGGCAAGCTGACCGAAGCCTTCAAGTACTTCCTGCAAGGGATGGGCTACAGTGAGTGCCGGGGCTGGGCACGGGGCTGGCGCGTGCTTATGTGTGCACATGCGTGTGTGTCTGTGTGCGCGTATGCTGACCCTGCCGCAGGAGAGGAGCCTGGCACCCCCGCGTGCCCATCCTGATGGAGAGCTGCATGTGCGTCTGTGGCATTGTATGTCTATCCGTGCGTTCGCAGGGGCGGGGGGAGTACATACGTGTGTGGACAGGGTCTCTGTGCATGCATGCGCACTTATGTGTGTGTGGGCATGCACAAGGAGGGGCTGTGTGTGTGCACACAGACGTGCAGAGTCCATGTGCACAAGACTGCATGTGTGTGTGTGTGTGTGTGTGTGTGCAGGTCTGTGTGCGTATCTGTGTGTGCACGCGTGTGAAGGTCCATGTACACACACGTGTGTGTTTGCAGGTCCATGTGCACAGGCATGTGTGCCTGTGTGTGTGCAGGTCTGTGTGCACACGTGCAGGTCCGTGTGCATGCACACATGGGGCTGGGCGGGGGCTCCTGGCCCCACGGAGCAGCCAGCACGGCCAACGCTCTCTCTCTGCCCTCCCTGCCCTTCTCCCACTCCACCCCTGCCAGTCGCCCACCTGAAGGATCGAAGGCTGAGTGGAGGCACAGGTACCGCTCAGTGCTGCTCGGCCCGTGCCCGCTGCTGCATGGTGCCCGCCTGGCCTGTGCCCTCGAGCTGCCTGGGCACCTTTGGGAGCAGCCTGGGTGCGGGGCTGGCCCTTCCCAGCCAGGTGCCCTCTGCCTCGCTCCGCTTTGCCTGAGATGGCACCCTGAGCCAGGGCTGGGGGCTGAGAAATGGCATTTGGAGAAGTCCCCCCCTATGCAGGCAGTCTTGGCAATGTGCCCACTGTGCCCTCCTCCAGCCGGCCAGGAGCTGTGCCTGCTGGGCATCCTGGCTGGAGGAGGGTGTCACCTTCCCTGCACACCCTAGGGGGCCGGGATAGCTCCCATCCCTGCTCACCCCTTCCCCGGAGCGTGGCGGCCAGGGGTCCCCACTGCTTCATGCCCAATGGTCGCATGCCTGGGAGATGTGCCCAGTGTGCAGCCTGCCCCAGGGCGCCCCATCCCTGCCCTGCTGTCCCTTGCCAGCCTAGAGCTGTTGTCACAGCATCGCATGCCGCAAGCTTGTGCCCGGGGTCATTCGCATTGGGGAGTGGGACCGGCAGCTTTGCTTGTGTGAGGCAATGTCGGCTCAGGCCCTGCTGGTTTTCGGAGGGAGCTGAGCACCCCGGCTGTTTCTCTGTGCCCGTGCAGTGCCATCTGCCAGCATGACCCGCCTGGCACGCTCCCGCACAGCCTCCCTCACCAGCGCCAGCTCGGTGGATGGCACCCGCCCACGTGCCTGCACCCACTCGGAGAGCACCGAGGCCATGGGGCAGATCAACCACACCATGGAGGTATCGTGCTGAGGTCCACGCCTGCCGCCAACGTCTCCTCCAGAGCCATCTCCCATCCGTCAGCATCCCGCCAGCACCCACCCGCCCCGTGGACGTCCTCCACCAGGGCCCTCGCTCCCCTGGGGTCGATTTGTCTTCTTTGCCGTTGGCCTCATCCCCTTGTCTAGTACCGGAGAAGGAAAGGGGCTTTGCTTTACTGCCTCCCGGCTCCGGCTCCTGGCTTCGCCCAGCAGTCACACATGGTTCTGCATCAGTCCTCACCCTCCCTAGCATCGGCTTGGCCCTGGCCTGGGAGGGTGGGTGGCAGGGGGATGGGGCCAGGATGGGGGAGCAGGGGCAGGGTGGTGAGATGGGGACAGGATGGTGGGATGGGGCAGGACAGCAGGCTGGGGGCAGGACAGCAGGATGTGGAGAGAATACAGGAGGTAGGTTGGTCCCCCAAGGTCAACCGATGGCTGGCCAAGCCAGAAGAAAGACAGGGACAGGGCGTGGCACTCACTGGGAGGTCACTGGGCCCTTCCTGGGGATGCAGCTCCCATTTCTCCCCTCCAGCCCTCCCTGGGGAGAGCTAGCATGGGATCCCCCAGCACACCCAGGCCCTGGTGCCCCGGAGCTGGCTGAGCATTGTGAGAAATCGCACCCCAAACTGTCCCCTCGCCGTGGTCATGCACCCTGAGGGCTTCCCCGGGACAGGGGTAGAGGGCTCAGCCTTGCTCCAGAAGCCATCAGGGCAGGATGGTGGCATGGGGGTCCCCCTGCCTCTGCCTCTGCCCACGCCCTCGCCCGTGGTGGCACTTCCTTGGTCCCTTGTTGCAAGAAGGACAGTCAACACCTGCCACCAAAAACGATGGCAGTTCCACTCCCAGCTCTTAGGCTGAGGCCACCAGGGCTCAGAGGCCACTGGATGTCACGTGGCAAGTCCCCCCTCCAGTATCGCCGCAGACTGTGGGTGTCACTGCAGTGGAGCCATTAGCAATAAGATGAGACACTCCTCCCCCGCGATGCTGGGGAGCCCTCGGCACCCTCTGCCCCGCAGGGTGCATCACTGCAAGGTGCTGGCAGTGTGGGGTGACCCATGGGATGTGGGGAGCACCCCAGTGTCTGGCTTTGCTCACAGGCTGGCTTTGCCCACAGAGCTGGCCAGACCCACCATGGCCCCCCAAATCCACACCCCCTACCTCCAGCATCTCGC